AGCACAGAGCAAGGAACAGCCCTGAGCATGGCTGAAAGTGTGGACCAACACCCCTCACCTAATAAATAACAAAAAATTCTACTTTAGTCACACAAAGTTCAAGATGCTAAATAGATTTCTTAAGTGCAGTTTTTTTTTTTTTAAAGTCCAAACAAGAGGCTGGGAAAATCAGGCAGGAGATACAAACCTGGGAGAGTCACAGCATTTAATCGGTATTTCTAGTCAATCAATTGGATGAGACCACCAAACATTATTTATACACGAGGGGATTTGAAGTCTCTTCAACACCCAGAACACTAGCAGTAAAGAAGGAACTGGCAAAAACTGACAAGGAACAGTCAGTAAGGTAGCAAACAAACCAGAAGCCAAGAATAAAGCAGAGAGCATAGCAATGCTTCAACAAGACAGACCTTCAAATGATTCTTGATGTTTAAGTATGACAGTATTTAGGTTATATTAAAGACACAGTAAGTAGTAAGAAAGTATTCTCAGAGGAAATCTTAAGACCAGTTTCTTAAACTGTGGGTGGCGACAAATCTGGCAATACCAAAAAGTTTCTGAATGTGCACTGACCAAAATGAATTCAAAATCAAAAGTGTGATGAATCTAAGGTGTTTTTGACATGACTTGTCTGAGAGCATTTCTCTGGCAAAAGGGATCATGAGTGGAAAAAGTTTAAGCAGCCCTGTCTCAGACCAAAGAGCCCTCCCCTGTGACTAACACTAGTGGAAGCTTTCCGGAGCACCATTTAGGACAAGGAGAAAGGATAATCCTTATGAGCCAGCCAATGTTTTTCTTGACCCGTGGCTAAGTCAGTAGGAAAGATCATCATAAAGGGCAAGCTTAGATACGCCAATAATTGAGGAAAACAATGAGAAACCTAGCATTCCAACTCCGAATCACTGTAAGAAAGCCACTATTTACTTATACCAATTTCTAAGTTCATATAGAAAATATGCTTTTAGGCTTGCATTTATGTCTCAATAGGGTTAAGTTTCTTTGACACAATATTATTCTAATTATATGGAATGGCTGCTTTACCCACATTCATTTTCACCGAAAGCATATTCAAAAACTATCTATCAAATTTAAAAGCATCTCATACATCCACCAAAATGGGAAACTAGAAGTAAATATTTCAGATATTTTTCACAATCTCTTATCTATAAAAATAGAAGAGAGGAATGCAAAGAGGACTTTGGTTTTAAAAGGGAAGTTAATTTAGAAATATTGACTTCTAAATTTATGAATGCTTTCTAAATTAAAATGTTCCCAGATTAATTCTATTATGATATGCATTCCCTTTCCAATGGGTTAGGCTTCTTGGTTTTGGGTCTATCACTTTAGTTTTATATAGTAAAAGATTTAACTTCTGGATTAAAAGTAAAACAAGAGTATGAGATGGTGTACAGAATATTTCCAGAGTTTACTGTTGAAAGGCACAAAAATCAAAACCAGAATTTGGTGTGTTTTAAAGAACGCAATTTCTTTAAACATGAATTTCCTTTGGATTAAAGACTCCTATTCCTTCATCCTGGTCAAGTTACTTTAAAAAAGAAAATACATACTTAAATAAAAAGGAAAAGGATATACTCATATGTGCTTTGGCTTACTATGAAATAATTTTTGTTGTTGTTCTGTTTGGGGGCCACAACAGCACTGCTCAGAGGCTACTCACAGCTCTGTGCTTTGGGGGATCACTAGGGGACTAGGGACCAAAGCAGATCCTAGACCAGCTTATTAAGTTTTCTTTCCAGCTCCCAAACTCATAATTGTCCCCAATTCATGTTATTTTTAGTTTAGTGACTATAGCTGTCAGTTTGGTTTGACCCTGTTCTGTGAAGCATGTGAATGGACCCTGGCTATGCTATCAAAGCCCTTGCTAAAAAAACGGGAACATGACAAAACAAGCACAGATCTTACATTTATTAGTTATGACTTTGAGCCTCCAACTATTTCAGAACTTCAGTATCTATTAATAAACTGTGGCCGAGAAGAACTGCCATCTGCTGACAAGACAGACTTCAGAACATGAAAGTAAAGTTTTGGTTATTCATATTAAAAAAAAAATTACTTTCATGCAGTCCTTTAAAGTTGTCATTAAGACATCTGTCCCAATAACTGTCTGTTCTTTAAAATAATATGCCCATGTCACCTTTTAAGACACACACACACACACACACACACACACACACACAATACAGTTATCTCTGTGGTGTTATCTCACCTCTTCATTGTGAAAACCATTCCAGATATCTACTGAAGTCAATGGCCATTAAGTTTCATAGAGAAGACCTCAATAATAGTTTTGGGTTTCCAAAACTGGCTAAAAAAATCAATAGCTTCAATTTATTCAAAACATCACAAATTAGTTTTTTCTTTATTATCACCTGCTTATATATGTATAGTCTAAAACTGTAAAAATGGACAGCTGCCTATTTTTTCTATTTTTCTCTTTAAGACAAAATCATTTTGTCTCTAGGGATGCTGCATTGCCTATGTAAATGAAAAAATTAAAAACAACTACGTGAACGTGGTTTTGTCTTGCTGCAGTTATATGAAAGTTCAAAAAATGTGGTTTACAGCACCTTTCACCTTTGCTGAACAAAGCTACCTGCTAGTTAATTATTTGGAGTCTACTGGTATCAACTTTTGGAAAGCGGATAATTTATTTCTAATATAACTGCTTTAGCTAAAATACTTGAACCTCTAGTATGATCACATGTAATATAAGTGACTCAGACAGGTAATAAATCCTCAATTTTATGCTATGATAACTTCACTTACACAGACAACAAATATTTCTAGAATTTTTTAAATAGTAATATGAAATAGTAATAGGTGCCAGCCATTAGAGTTACAGATGAATAGAAAGCACATTTTGCTGGGGATATACAATTTTAGTTACTGTTAAGTACCTTGAAGGACTAATAGCACTGACAAGATCAAGGTTGCTCAGAAGTAACTATAAAAGTGATACTTGAAGTGGTACTTGAAGAGCAAAAAGGCACCAGCCAGGTGACATTCTGAGAGAAGAGTCTTCAAGCAAAGATAAATCATCTAAGTGCCCTTTTCCCATCTATGGCACTGTATTCAAAACCTAGTTTAAATATAGTAAGAAAGAATGAAACACTAAACGGAAAGGTCTTTGGAAACAATAACCTAATTTAAAAAAATAAATTGCTGTGGGAGAAGAGCAGCCAGATTACAGGTTTCCTGCCTAACTTTCAGTTCTCTGAAATTACAAGAATCACAAAAAGTTTTAGAAAGTAGTGTGTGAAACTCAAGTGGTAATAATGAAATTATGTAAGTCCGCGAAAACATTTGGTAGATCATAAATACAAGTTATCATTATATAACAATTTGTAGTCTACAAGCATAGCAGCTCTCCACAAAGTAGACGTAAACATTTATTTTAAAAACCGCAATTCTTCCAAACTGACTCACTGAATTTTTATTCTTAAATAAGAAAATTACCCATGAAAGTTGTACCAGCTACCCACTTCTGCAAAGAGAATTTAACATAGAAAAAAACATAACACACAATCTCTCACTTTCCCCTTCACCTCCCTTTTCAAAACTCTGGAACTTCTTTTAGCAATGTGACCTTAGAGCAGGTCACTGTTCCTCTCTGGAACTGGTTTCTTAGTAATAGTGCAGGCACCAAGGTAGAGTCTAATAGAATCTGTCATACTGATGAGACGAAATGAAATCAATATCCCCAATTCAGTTATGGGAAGCTTAGGTCAAAGGAAACGTGCTTGGAAATCACCTGGATGTGGCACAGCTGATGGGATGAACCTTTGGGTTACCAAAGGTGGTCTTCTTCACACTTATATCTCCGGTGAAAAAAACCAGGTGGTTCTCAGTGCCCTCCGAGATTATTTTATGCAGTAAAACAAAATCTGATAACCCATTTTTCTTCCAAAGTTTATCTGTTGAATGATAATGTTCTCTACTTTTTGCTTGCCACTAGCTAAGAACAATTTTGGGTTTTTATACAGACATCTCTTTGAGTCTAGAATATAGAACATATTAGAGTCTGACATCATGCCAAGGGCTATGATCTCTCTTTTTAAAAATGATACACCATTGGTAAATGGTTAACAAAAATGCCATTTCCAACCAAAATTCTTTTAACCCTTTCTCAAGCGTGTCATTAAAACACAGACACAGAGATGTACACACACACACACACACACACACACACACTTTTTTACTTTTTGAACTGTCAGGATTCGTAGAGACAGCTTACTTGGTAACACTTGGAAAAGCAGCCTTGCCTATTTGGCTCGAAAATTCCACTCTGGTTGTCAGCGAAATCATTAACCCATAAACCTGAACCGGCTTTCCTTAACAAACCCCAGGGGGTCACCGAGCATATCATTCAGGCAACTCAACCTGCCCGATGACGGCAGGTACGCCCCCCTCACTACCACAGGCAGCGACCAAAGCCACCCGGGGCCGAGGTGGGCGGGGGGGGGGGGGTGTCCGCTTTGACTCGGTTCGACCCAGCGATGGACTTGACCAGCCCAGTAGGCACTCGCGGGGAACGGCCGGAGCCAACAGCCCCTGCCACCGAACCACAATACTGGGTGTCTCGGGAGCCCGAAACGCCAAGACGGCCACGGGCTCCGGGGATGACTTTGCCGCCTGCCGCTGTGAGAAGCGGGAGAGTCGCCCCGTGTCGTGTCGTGTCACCGGCTCATCCTCCTGCGGGAGCGGGGAACCCGCCAAGCCTGGGCACCACCGGACTTGAGGCAAAACTCCAGAGGGGACCAGAGGGGAGTCTCCTGCGCCGCTGTGGCGGGGTCAACCTGAGGTGCTTGCGTGTTCGGGGGTGGGGGGAGCTGAGGGGCGGAGGGAAAAGAGACCCCCGGGACAACCCCCCAAACACACACACACACACACACACACACACACACACACTCTCTCTCTCTCTCTCTCTCTCTCTGTCCGCCAGTTACTGAGGCGGGAAGCAGTCGGGTGGTCGCTCTCACCTCTTCCACCTCGATCTCCTTGTAGTCGATCTCTTCAAAGTTGAGCACTTGGGAGGGAGCTTCGATCATCTCACCCGCAGAAGAGGAGGAGGAAGAGGAGGCGGCGGAGGCTGTAGACATGATCTCTCGCGGAGCCCGGGAGGCCCGGGGAGGCTGCCGCCCCGACGCTCCCGGGGAGACCCGCGCCCACCCGCCTCCGCACCGACCTTCAGCCTGGAGCCACGGCGATCGGCGGAAGGGACCGAGGCTGCGGCCACAGCCGAGTCCCCGGCTCCGGCTCCGCTGCGTTTTCCGCCGCCGGGCCCCGCCCACCGAGCTTCCGGTTCCGGGCTGGACTCGGAACCCGGAGGCGGGTGGGGAGCTCTTAGGAAGACGTGGGGAGGGGCGGTGCGTTCTGGGGGGGGAGGGGCCTGGGAAACGGGAAATAATTCTGGGGACCGAGAGCGAGAAAGGAAGGACGGATTTGGGGTGGGGTGAGGGAAGGGAAGAGGCTGCGTTGGAAAGGTTGGAAGAACTTTCGCGAGATCTTTGTGGGAAGAGCTGCCGCAGCCGGAGGATCCCGCGATAACTGAGCTCTGACGTAATTAGAAAGCGAGCGGAAGCGGCGCGGAGCTTGACGGAATATCCGCTGCGGTTGGTTCCTGAGGCGGCGGCGGGAAAGATAAAAACCCGGGTGCTCGCCGCGGCTGGGCGGACTCAGTCCTTCGCGGCCCTGCTCCTTTTTATCCGAGAGGCTGGAAGACGGGAGCGGGAGGGCGGAACTGAATTTCTGTCATCTTTCCGCCTCAGCCTCTGCCGGGTCGGCTGAGCTCGTGAGCCAGGAAGTGCGCCTAGTGCCGCTGTTCCTCAGGACCAACAACAACCCTGACAGATTGCGAAGACGGTGGGAGAGCCAGTGAGCGCGGGGAGGAAGGGACCAGCGCTGTTGGCCGAAGGAGTAATAAGTTTTTTTGTCTTACAGAGGCGTTTGTAAGAGGACTTCATTCACCCCGTTGTTTTTTTCTTTTTCTTTTTTTTCCTCCCTCAAGTTGACGCTTATGTTAGTACACAGAGCAAGTGCGGAGCAGGCACTTGATGCCAGATACTCCACATCCGTCATTTGATCTTCAGCAATAGCCTTGCAAACAAATGTGTTTTTGCTATCATTTTCGGGACTGATTCAGAGAGGGAACAACCATATAAACGACAGCTCTCTACGTCTCAAAGGAGGCTACTGCTACCCATGTGAGCCGTCAACACAGTGAAATTAGCTTCTAGAGTTTAGGCAGGTTGACTTGAAGAAAAGTGGGGTTTGAGATGGAGATTTGAGTTTGGAGAGAGAATGCAGCCGTGAAATAATACAACTTGCCTTGCTACTGGCTGACCAAAGTACCATCAGAAGCACACTTAGGGTCTCCCAAGCCCTATCAGCAGTGTGGCACCAAAATAACAAAATATTAAGAATTAAGGATTAGGAACAGAACTCAGCAAGTGGTCAATTTCAATGTGAAATTGCATTTCAGGAAAGAAAAAACTGGTAAGGGGCAAAGTAAAAAGAAATGTGGTCCAGAGGGAAAATTTCCACTTAGGAAGTAGCAAACCAAAATCTGTACAGAAACATTAATAAACACGTTTGCGAATGCAAATCGGCCATTGGACTTGTTAATTTAAAAATTGTTACAAATTCTTGAATTCTGTCATTTTAAAATTTGTAATTCTGTGGTGAGGCTTAGTGATTGGCGAATGGAAAATCTAAGGAAAGGAATAATCATTTCTTCTAAATCATTTCTTTTTGACAGGCTCCAGATGATTGTACCTGGGGTCTTCACAACATAAAACATTCTTAGAGTGAGATGACCCATTCTTGCCCAGTGCTCAGGCTTTTCCTAATTTCTGGAACTTTTGGCTCCTCTATTTAAATGTGACATAAATCCTTAAATTTCAAGGATTTCCATAAATCTTACTTTATTTTTTGCTTTTTGGGTCACACTCAGCGATGTACAGGGATTACTTCTGGCTCTACACTCAGGAATTAACCTTGCTGGTGCTCAGGGGACCATCTGGGTTGCTGGGAATCGAACCTGGGTTCACCGTTTAGAAGGCAAACTCCCTGTTTGCTGTGCCATTGCTCCAGCCCCTCCATAAATCTTTTAAGTCATAAATTTCCAGAACGAAATTAAAAAGTTTTTGCTCACCACAAATAGATTATTCCGTGTGCTTTTTTTTTTTGTCTTTGTGAATGATTTCATCACCCTTGTCTCTCCAGTCAGAAATTGGGACTCTTTTTCAACATATAAAACAACTCTTAAGGAAGCAAATTTATGTTAATGGAATAACCATGTTTACCTTTTTTATTCCCAAAGCAGAATAGTCATCACTGTAGGTGTTCATTTGATTTCTCTTTAAGAACTTGATCTTGGTTCCTGAATTCTGCAACTAGGTGTGATGAGATTCTGCTGAATTAAGGAACAATGTGTTCCACCTTCTGTATGAATGACTGATGTTTTCCAGTTCTCCCTTTCTATAAGGGCTGGAGTGATAGCACAGTAGCACGGCGTTTGCCTTACATGCAGCTGGCCCGGCCCACCTGGGTTCAATTCCTCTGCCCCTCTCGGAGAGCCTAGCAAGCTACCCATGACGTATTTGATATGCCAAACACAGTAACAACAAGTCTCACAATGGAGACATTACTGGACCCGCTCAAGCAAATCGATGAACAACAGGAGGACAGTGACTGCTATAGTGCTCCCTTTCTGTGGAGTACAAGATTAGTTTCCTGTACCCTCAGTTTAAGTCTATAACCCTTCTGGCAAAGTGTTAATCACTTTATCCATGATGCTGATCATATTTTCTCCCTAAGATTTTGTTTTAAAGCATATTAAACACAGAAGAGTTGAGATGTTTTATTTATGGTAAACATTTTGCTATATATGTTGCACTTTATACATTTATTCATGTACCCATACATACTGCCATTCAAAGTGAATTTTATACATGATTTTGAACATTGTCTATTCCAGTACTTAGATATTTTATTTGTTTGAACTTCTGATTTTAATTTTATTAGAAAAAATTCTTTTCCTATTTGTTTGCAGACCATTTGTGGGAGAGGTAGAGGTTACTCTGTAGTCATGAGGTGCCAGGAACCCAGAACCTAACACATACTAGACATATGCTCTACTGCTTGAGTCATATCCTCAACCCCATGTATAAGAATTTATTTTTTATTGAGGTGACATTAATTTACAAAAGTGTAAATATTTGTTCATATTTTTAGGGGTGCAGCGTTACCTGGAGCAAAAGTACAGTTTTTGCCTTGCATGTGGCCAACCCGGGTTCGATTCCTCCATCCCTCTTAGAGAGCCTGGCAAACTACCTAGAGTATCCTGCCTGCAGGGCAGAGCCTGGCAAGCTCCCTGTGGTATATTTGAAATGGCAAAAGCAGTAACAACAAATCTCACAGTGAAGACGTTACTGGTGCCCGCTCAAATCCATGAACAATGCGAGGATAGTGCTACAGTGTTACCACACCACATTCACCACAAAAGTCAGTATCCCTTTTCCACAGTTGACAGAACTTTTCAGTCTAATGCCCTTTTCTCCCACCACTATTTGTAACCTTAATTCTATAGTCAGTCATCAGGTTTGTTTTCACTGGACATCTATTCCTTTACTGTTTATATACTCATCACTTCTGTATGTGTGCAGTGTTTACCTTTTTCTGGCTTATTTTGTTTGGCATAGTACCCTACAGTTGTCTCCAGGTTGAAGTAAAAGCAAGATTTCATCCTTTCTAATGACTTAGTATTTCTTTGTGTATATTTACCACATCTTTTTCCACTGGTCTGTCATGGGGCACTGTTTTCAAATCTTGACCATTGTAAATAATACTACAATGAACATAGGTAAAGGTCCTCCCGTTGTTCATCAATTTGCTCGAGCAGGCCCAGTAACATCTCCATTGGAGACTTTGTTGTTACTGTGTTTGGCATATCAAATACGTCACGGGGAGCTTGCCAGGCTCTGCCATGCGGGCGAGATACTCTTGGTAGCTTGCCGGGCTCTCCGAGAGGGGCAGAGGAATCGAACTCGGGTCGGCCATGTTGGCCACGTGCAAGGCAAATGCTCTGCCGCTGTGCTATCGCTCCAGCCGAACACAGGTATGCACATATTTTTTTAAGTTAGTGTTTTGTGTGCTTTGAATAAATGTGAATGGACTTTCTGGATCATTTGGTAGTTGTATTTTTAATTTCATGAGAAATCTTTATATTGGTTTTCAGAATATCAACTAATTTGTATTCCTACGAACAGTGAATAAAAATTCTAAATTTCCCTTTCGTTTAGGTTATTTCAAGTTTCCTCTTTGTTACCTCCAAAGAATCCTGAGGTATACAGATCTAATCCAAAGAAATGAGGGAGGAGCTGAATCCACAGTTCACTTCAGTTCAGTTTTCGCTTTGTACTCTAACTTCTTTAATTTTCTTAAATTAAGGACAAAAGCTTGACTCTTACAGTGTCATGACAATTTTAGTCATCAGTAGGTTTTCACAAATTTCCAGAGAGAAAATTTATACTCAAACTAGATGATTTTTGTTGTTATTTTTGTTTTCTGACCATAGCTGGCAGTACTTACTCTTGCCTCTTCACCCCGGAATTACTCCTCATGGACCCAGGGAGTGTATGGCATTCTGGAGATCAAACCTGGGTCCACTGCATCAGCAAATGCTCTACCCACTATACTATCTCTCTGGCCCCACTTTAAGATATATTTGATGAGATAACGTACACACAATATTAGTTTTCTTTGCTACTAGAACTGTTTCTTAGCCCTTTTAATATTTCTTACTCCCTAAGTAAATTTTCTTAATACTTTTTCAAAGGAGATTTATGATATGAAAGCTGTATGTATTTATACCTTATGCACATGAAAAGAAAAATGTATGTTTTTCTTTGAAATTTCACCTCAGAGGATATCACCAAATGGGAATGTATGTTCTGGCAACTTCTTTTCCCATATGACATATAACAAGGTGAACCATAGCAAGAGTATTTTTTTAAATAGTTATTTTGGAAGAGTAGGGAACTTTTCTCTTATTGAAAACCCTATCCTGGGGCTGGAGAGATAGCACAGCAGGTAGGGTGTTTGCCTTGCATGCGGCCGATCCGGGTTCAATTCCCAGCATCCCATATGGTCCCCTGAGCACCACCAGGAGAAACTCCTGAGTGCAGAGCCAGGAGTAACCCCTGTGCATCGCCAGGTGTGACCCCAAAAGCAAAACAAACAAACAAAAAAACCTCTAGGCAATTATATTCTTAAGGAAT